TGTTAAATTGAGCGAACGGATAGAAGGGACACACACTAACTTAGTTGGAGCTTATTTTACTATACAGATATCCGAGTTTTTGAATCAGAAAGAGCGACAGTGTACGGTGTTGAGGAGATTGCAGAGGCCACAAGTAATTTCGACGAAACAAGAAAAATCGGACAGGGTGGTTATGGAAGTGTATATTTTGGGGTACTAGGAGAGAAGGTATTCTATTTGTTCATCTTATATTCATATTATAATTTCCTGAGTTAAATTTATCCAAATATTTGAAAATTAAATTTGTAGCCATTACTGTGACATCAGGAAGTTGCCATCAAGAAGATGAGATCCAACAAGTCCAAGGAGTTTATGGCTGAACTCAAAGTGTTGTGCAAGATACATCACATCAACGTGGTAAGGAAATTATTTCCAAGAATTGAACTTTTTCCCCTAAATTGTGAAAGAGGCTCAATAATTTATCGGGTCGAGACACAATATAGGTGGAGCTTCTGGGTTACGCCAGTGGAGACGATGACCTCTACCTGGTTTATGAGTATATCCGGAATGGTTCTCTCAGTGATCATCTCCACGATCCATTATTGAAAGGTATTCAAATGGATGTCGCTTATTCTTTTTTTTTTTTTTTTAATAGAAGATTGGAATTCAAGAAATTAAAGGTTTGCAAGAAGATTGTAGCAATGAGCAATGCTTGAAAGTTACCGAAGTTTGGAAGTACAAAGGAGAGTGAACAATCCACTCGGTCGAGCAATCAATATCAAAATTTATCGCGTTCCTAGAATAAGATTCTTATTATCTGAAACTATAAAATAGGAGAAAGTTCTTACAAAGAGGTCATAAAATAGGTCGCCAGCCTCTGTCTTGGAATGCAAGAACACAGATTGCTCTTGATGCTGCAAGGGGTATTGAATATATTCACGACCACACAAAATCTCAATACGTGCATCGTGATATAAAAACGAGTAACATCCTTCTTGACGAAGCACTCAGAGCAAAGGTACCAGCACGAAACTCGATCAACTTCCTGGATAATGTTAATTTTGAATCCTTGATGTTGAATACCAATTTCCACAGGTTGCAGATTTTGGTTTGGCAAAGCTTGTCGATAGAACCGATGGAGATGAGTTCATAGCAACAAGATTGGTGGGAACTCCGGGATATCTTCCTCCTGAGTAAGCATTTATTGTTATGAAAATAATTCAGAATGAAACTCTCTTAGTTGTTTACCAAATCAAACTAAATGTTGTTTCATTTTTCTTATTTCACAGATCTGTGAAAGAGCTACAGGTGACTACTAAAACTGATGTTTTCGCATTTGGAGTAGTTCTTGCAGAGCTTATAACCGGCCAACGAGCACTCATTCGCATCAACCACGAACCAACTAAGATGAAATCACTCATCACAGTTGTAAGTAAACTAATAAGTGGATTTTGTCAGACTAAATTAAATAAAATGATCCTTGGCTTGAAATACGACGTGAACTAATTAACTGATAGTCATAAACGAAGAAATTATTAATATGTCTATTAAGATAGATAGAAGTTATAATAATAACATTTGCATTTGAGATTCTCTTCACCCTTTGGTCAGGTAAACAAAATATTCGATGAAGAAGATCCGGTATTTGCTTTGGAATCCATTATCGATAGAAATCTAGAAGGCAGCTATCCTCCACGAGATGTATACAGGGTTAGAACGATTTTCTTCAGCCCTCAATCTTTAAAATATCTGTAGTGCATTTCTGGTAAAATAGGACAGTACAACCAAAAGAGTTTTAATGGCTTTTTTCTTATTTGTTACTGTCCAGTACTGTTTAATCTACATCATCAGATAAATCCTCAGTTCTGTGTTTGATTCTTTCAGATGGCAGAAATCGCAAACTGGTGCCTAAGTGAAGAGGCAATCGACAGGCCAGATATGCGTGAGGTAGTAGTGGTACTAACGCGAATAAGAATGTCATCAATCGAGTGGGAAGCGTTGCTCGGAGGAAGCAGCCAAGTTTTCAGTGGATTATTTGATCCCCGCTGAAAAGTAGACTTAGATTTTGGTTGCATTTTCACAAGCACTTTGTTTACAAGAGTGCAAACAAGAATGTTGAATCATGATTTTTCTAATGTAATATACAAATATGTTTCCTTTTTTTCTAATTAATTAATTTTAAAATAAAACTAAGGGGAAATTTTACTTTAAGTCCTTCAATTTACATTTCAGTTGCCCAACTTCGATTTGTTTCAATTTGATCACAAGCTTACATTTTTGTTTTAGTTTGGTAATTTTGTTTGTAAGCGTAACATGCGACTAATATAACACATTACTTGACTATAATTTGATGCTAAGCCCCAATTTGGTACCGTTAAAAAAATTGATTGGAAACTAAGTTAAAGTAAAAAATTAATTTTAATTACATATTTCATATGATCCATAATTTTTTATCTACATATTTCATAAACTTTTATAAAAATCTGATTCTAATATCTACCAAACAGGTGTTAAATGATGAGTTAGATTTATTTATTTATTTTTTTAAACCGCTAGGTACAATATTTATTCACACTGTAATAAAAAGATATACAAGCATAGAAGGAGACATTGCCTATAATAAAAAGATAAACAAGCATAGAAGGATGATATTAGACATTGCCTATAATAAATGTATATAGAATACAAAAAATTTAATCGATCCAGACAAATGAGAGCTAAAGAGTAAAACAAATAAGATCGGTTAGTTGTAAAAAGGGAATACTAGTTTAAGTGAAACAAATGTTAGATCACGATCGAAAAAAATGGAAATTTAGAATTGTAAGTCTGGTGATCAAAATGAACTAATTTAAAGTTTAGTGCTCACAAGTAATACACTTATAAGTTTGGGGACCTCCAACGAAACAAACATGCGAGTTAATTGTTCCAACAATTACTAAACTTAGGTCCACATCTTCGATTGCTCGCTGAAATTTAAAATGTTGAGTTTTGACCACTTAATTTTGAAAAATATCGAGTTTTGGTCACTGAATTTAGGTCCATGTCTTCAATTGCTCACCGAAATTTAAAATGTCGAGTTTTGATCACTAAACTTTGTAAAACATTGAACATTACTCATCGAAATTTTAAAAAAAATTGTATATTACTCACTAAAGAGGAAATTTAATCAATGCTCACTGAACTTTAGAGTACATTACTACTTGCTCATCGAACATTATAATATAACTTATTGCTCACCTAACTATCTAGTTTCTTACCCGTTCATCACGCAACTAATCTCCCTCATCCTAGACTAACGGAATGTGCCACATGGAGGACAGAAATCCCATATGGCACATAAATCAGACATGAAATCAAAAAAACTCAACCAAAAATTAGAAACCTTGCTGGCATGGTTTTACGGGCGAAATCCCAACTATGCTTCCTTTACATTTTCCACCAGATGACCAACCAAAAACCACAAAAATGGCGACGACGAGTGGAACTTGAGCGAGAATTTCCACCGCAAACAGCGTTGCATGCTACTTTCTTAACAACAGTAGGAACAGCAATTGAAGTAGGAACATCAACAGCCCAAATTCACCTTCCATCTTCTACGGCCATACTATCGTTACCCTCCTCCACCGCCGCCGAATCATGGAGAACCCAGAAATCGCTCCCAATTCCAGCTTTCATTTTTTTTTTTTTGCCAGGAAAGTGTTTGAAGTTTGCATTATTTCAGTCATCACCTGAGTTGAGCATTTCAATGATCATTCAAATTGATTGGAAACAGTTGAACTATCCCCACACATCAAAATCGAACTGGGAAATTAAAAGTCCAATATATTAGAAGAAAGTTTCTGTAATGACGACATTCAAAATTCTCCACTCTAATCTATTGTGTTGCTTCCACCAATTTCTCATTGTTCTTCTTGCCTCCCGTGAAGAACTTGTACCCTCCAAAGAAATGCAAACCCCAGCCAGACAAGGAGACATTCACGAAGTGCTCTTCCTTCCTCTTGGATGGACTCATGAGATCTTTCCAGAAATCAACCTTAGATGGCCCATGATGATCAGCGGCACCAACGAGGCCACGACGGGGAATCATAGAGGCGGACTGAGTGAAGGTTGCAGCCAACGAAGTAGCCATGGCTTTGTGCTTTTTCTTTCCAAGATCGAATGGGCGTCAAACAGTAATTACAACTTTCATTTTCTTGCCAAAATGTACCCATGAACAAAGCGTCCCAAATCGAAACCCAAATTCGCCCCCAAATCAGTGAAGAACCCCCAAAATTGCCCAAAAATTCGCCCCCAAATCTGTTGCACTTACTAGGCTGTATTCAAGGTCCAAGAACTGGAGGAAGAAGACGAAGGTCCGGGAATAGCTTTCTACACTTTTGGCCCATTTCATGTGTGATGTGCCACGTTGGTAGATTCCGTTAGTTTAAAGTGACAGAAATCCGATGAGTGAGAAATGAGTAACGTTTTAATGTGTAGTGAGCAAGTAGTAATGTAATATAAAGTTCAATGAGCATTCATTAAATTTACTCACTCGCTAAACCTTGAAAAATGCTGTAAATTACTCATTGTAAACTCTATATTTTCAAAATTCAATAGTTATGCTAATGAGCAACGTACGATATATTTCAAAATTTAGTGGCCAAAACTCGATATTTTAAATTTCAGTGAACAATCGAAGACATTGATCTAAGTCCAGTGACCAAAATTCGATATTTTAAATTTCAATGACCAATCAAAGATATGAATTTAAATTCAATGAACAATCGAAAATATTGACCTAATTTCAGTGATCAAAATTTAACATTTTAAACTTCACTAATTAATCAACGACATTAACCTAAATTCAGTGACCATTGAAACAATTAAGTCCAAACATGCGCTTAGCTAAAGAAGGCAGAAAGAGCAGTTTGATATTCATCTTTAAACATGCGCTTAGCTAATTTCATTGTTTGTATAATCGTAATACTGTAACACAGATGATTCAGAGAGCTGTTTTATTCGAATTTCACCCCTTAAGTACTCTTTAAATTGCCTAAAACCACTGCCACCAGATCTCATCAATCTGTTGCCCCCGATCTCCGATCTGTTTGATCCAAAAATTGAAATTGAAAAAATAATATAAAGGCCAAGGACGGAAAATGGCTGGAGCAGCGTCGGCGCTGTTCCTACTTGACATAAAGGGTAGGGTTCTGGTGTGGCGAGACTACCGTGGGGATGTATCGGCTGTTCAAGCCGAACGCTTCTTCACCAAGCTGATTGAAAAAGAGGTTTTTTTCATGTGTGTTTGTGATTTCTGATTTCTGTGATTGAATTTTTTCCGTTGGGATGAGATTTTAGTTTATTAAGTGAGTTGAACGGTTTTGTGAAGCAAATCGGATTTGTATGCAAAATTTTAGCTTGATTTGGAATTTCTAAGTTCTTGTCAGATTAATGTCATTAAAAATAACTTTTTGTTTGACAAGTTAATTGCTAGAAATTGAGATAGTCTGCCCGAAAGACTGTTTAATTTAGCTGAATGAAGTACGAACTAAATTGATAAGACCCTTTTTTATATGGAATGGAGTGAAATTTTATAAAATTGAGTTGAACAGTTTAATTGAAACTGAATGAAGTGGGAACTTACATTCTATGATTGTTTTTATTTTAGTTGTAGTCAGGCAAATGGGATTTGTATGCAAAATTTTAGCTTGATCTGGCATTTTTCTATTTTTCGCCGGATTAATGTCATTACACTGACCTTTTATTGATGAGTTAATTGCTTGAAATAGAGAAACTCTAGCAGAAAGAGTTGGACAGTATAATTTAGCTGAATAGAAGGCCAAACTATTAATGATAAGACCCTCTTTTGTTGGTTGTAGATTTAGTGGTTGTGCATTACATGTATATAATGGCTTACATATACGGGAATTATTTACACGTGATTAAACAGTCAATTAGGCTGTTATGACATTTAATAGAGTTCAAATGACTTGTATTCTATAATATGTTTTGTCATATAAACAACAATTTAAGCTTTGTTTCCCATAAATTTGGAGTCCGAATCATTTTCTAGTCATTGTGTTGATCCATTGCACATCTGTTAACTATTTAAGGTATTGTTATTGTTGGCCTACCTCTCCTTGCTCACATTTCTTTATAGTTTCTTCCAAACCCGAATAAAAGAGGGTTGCAGTAGGTTGATAGTTAGTTTAAGATTTTTTCACATCTCTTACGAGATGAATCCTTATCTACAATTATTTTGGTTATATATTTTCTCCAAACAAAACCTTTCTATAGAACTGTTGCTCCACTGAGAAACAATTCTTGAGAAGGAAAGAATATGGTGAATAACAAAGCTCTTGACTTTCGGTTCAAATTAGGCAGTATCAAAGCTGGATGATTTCTGCTTCTTCTGAGCTCAGTTTTACTAAGTTTCTCTAAAAATATGACCGACTGTTGTTACATTATCCATTGATTTCTACTTTTTACACATCTTTGAGTTGAAGCGGAGGAACTAATATGTTGTCATCCTATAATGGTATAGGGTGATCCCGAGACTCAAGATCCTGTTGTTCATGACAATGGCATCACTTATATGTTTATACAGCACAGCAATGTGTATCTCATGACTGCATCAAGGCAGAATTGCAATGCCGCTAGCCTTCTTTTATTTCTACACCGCTTAGTTGATGTAAGCACTATGGATAATTAGAGATTTTGCTCTTTATATATTTGATTTTCAATCTAATGAATTTATTTATGTGACTTCCATTTTAATTTTGCTTGTCATAATTTTCTGACAGGTCTTTAAACATTATTTTGAAGAGTTAGAAGAGGAATCGCTTAGAGATAATTTTGTTGTAGTGGTACATGTTTTTGTTTGCATTTATTTCTAATTTTTAAATGTTAGTTAGCAATAAGTATGCTACGGCTGATGTTTATGCTTCTGACAGTATGAGTTACTTGATGAAATGATGGACTTTGGCTACCCACAATATACTGAAGCAAAGATTCTCAGCGAGTTTATCAAGACCGATGCTTACAGAATGGAAGTTTCACAGAGACCTCCAATGGCTGTAACAAATGCAGTGTCCTGGCGTAGTGAAGGGATACGTTACAAGAAAAATGAAGTAAGACTCTATTTATGGACCTAATATTGGTTTTTTGAACTAGGTTTATAAATCTTCATGATTTATTTAGGTGTTTCTTGACGTTGTGGAAAGTGTCAATATACTAGTCAACAGCAATGGACAAATAATTAGGTCGGATGTTGTTGGGGCATTAAAGATGCGGACGTACTTAAGGTTTGTCCTGCCCCCCTGTATTGCTTCTCATGATTTTTTATTTTGAACCAGAAATGCATTTGGAAGCTCTTCTTTGTTTTTCAATTGCCTCATTTTTGTAGGTAACGTGCCTGTGCCTGGCATAACTATCATTCTTTTTCTCAAACTTAAAACCTTGATACTTATTTATGATGTGTTTTGCTTGTAATTTACCATCACATGATTGCAACATGGCATGATTATTAATCCCACTCTAAGGTTGCAATGCTGAAAAAATTATGTAATGAGAGTATATAGATATGAGCTGTTAATTTGATTTATTTTTCAAAATGAAAATTCAGTGGTGGTGCATGTTGAAGTCCCATTATGTTTATATTTCTAATATGAAGATACAAATGGCAATTTCACTCGGTAATTAATTGTTTTCTTTTTAGTATTTGCTCCTCAATTAACATCGTACAAGCTTATGTCTGCAGGCTGCTTGAGTCTCTTAAAGACTTCTGTTTAGATCTTTGTTTTAGGATTATTTTCCCATACTTGTGTCTTGCAAGTTGTTTCAATAAGTGGATGTTGTCTCGTTTCTGGTGTTGGTTCAGGGTAGACTAAATTTGTGTCACAATCAAGAAAAAAACCGAGAGTTTATCATGACATGAATTGTAAATTATTTTAGATGGCTAATAAAGAATTTCTTAGTGTACTAACTTAGCACAATAGAAACCTGAGAATACTTGCTGTGACTGAAGAACTTTGCACTATAAAAGTTCCATTTTTCACCACATGCATCAAAATTTCACCATATATATCTTTGTCACGGCTAATGTCCCGTTGATATCAAACAATCATAATAGAAGCAGGTTGTAAATATGACGTGATAATCTTCTATCTTTTGCAGTGGTATGCCCGAGTGTAAGCTTGGGCTGAATGACAGAGTATTGCTGGAGGCACAAGGTCGAACCACTAAGGGAAAAGCCATTGATTTGGATGACATCAAGTTTCATCAGTATGTAATTTAAATTTCAGTTTAAAGACACTGATTGTATTCGAGTCACTGTGTAGTATTTGATTCGAATGTTAATTTCCAGTGTAAAGAATATCAGTACATGCGCGGTGTTGTTTATATTTCTCTGTTTGCTCGTGTCTCAGAAAACACCTCTCTCTCTCTCTAGATGAATAGATAAATAGGTTTACGACGTCTTGCTAATACTAATTTTTCCTTTTCCTGGTTTAGGTGTGTGCGTTTAGCCCGATTCGAGAATGACAGGACAATATCTTTCATACCTCCTGATGGATCTTTTGATCTCATGACCTATAGGCTCAGCACTCAGGTTAACTTATGGATTGGGAATTAAATTTTATTGACATGCTCTTTTGTCCAAGTCTTTTTTACATCTCCATTTTTTTTTTTGATGATCAAAGTTGAATATGTCCCTATACGTGTCCCTGATAAAATACAATGTCCTTTCAGCTAGTAATATTTCTTATAAAACAAAAATAATGTCAAGATTTGTAAACAGCATCAGTTTAGATTCTGCTGTTCTACGAAACTAGATGTACTTCAGAAAGAGGACAACAGAATTGGAATTGGGAAGTAATTTTTTCTTTATTTTCTCAGTTGGACTCTTAGCAAAACGAGTTATGAGAATTGTATGCTTTCAGGTGAAGCCACTTATATGGGTTGAAGCTCAGGTGGAAAGACATTCTAGGAGCCGCATAGAATTTATGGTAAAAGCCAGGAGCCAGTTCAAGGAGCGTAGGTATGTTTATGAAGTAATACATTTTGGTGCCTGGATGAGTAGCTAATGAACAATATATTTTATTTTCTATCTGGTGGGTTATATTTTAAAGTAATGCTTTGTAGCACCAGTCTATGTGACAGTGGATCCTATATGCTACATAGCACTACTCTACATTAAATGAATGTCGAACTCATTTTTGAACTTATTTGGTATTTCAGTACAGCAACCAATGTCGAAATTGAGTTGCCTGTGCCATCAGATGCTACCAATACAAATATCCGTACATCGATGGGGTCTGCTTCCTATGCACCTGAAAATGATGCATTAATCTGGAAAATAAAATCATTCCCAGGTGGAAAGGTAAGTGTTTACGTCAATTCTCTGTAGTTTCATTTATTTTCTTTAGGTTTACAATTTTTTCCATTGGTGCTGGACATCACACACTTTTTTGTGATTGCATATTTTTCATTCTTTGTTTAGGAATACATGTTGAGAGCAGAGTTTAGGCTTCCCAGTATAACATCTGAAGAATCAGCTCCTGAGAGGAAAGCTCCCATACGCATGAAATTTGAAATACCATATTTTACTGTTTCAGGAATACAGGTTAGCCCTCAAAATGATGTTAACTAAATACATTCCATGTTATCTTGGGATTTGCAATTTCTTTTACTTAGATGCATTATGTGGTCTCTATGCATTTCGTTGGCATGTCTTTACTAGCAATGCACTGCATCATATCCATGGTAAGGTGAAAAGTTAGCAAGGGTTAGTTATTGGCGTTCTCTATCAGTATAGGCTTGCATCAAGAAAACAATTTACAAATAAGGGAGACATTCAAGAATTTGAATTACATAGGTGTTAAGCTCATTAGTCATTTAATGAATTACAAGAGACGGTAATTAAGAATGGATTAAGGTGTAATTCAAAAGTCTGACAGAACCAGTTCAGATTTATTTCTAGGAGATGTACTATAGAAAACCATCATCTACTTGGCAGATTGATAGAAAATTATGAACAATAGAAATATGAGTCGGATATGTTTTTATTGATTTAGTACATTAGGGTGCCATATAAGAGTGTTGTGGTGGACACTAGAGAATAAGGAATTTAGCTGTAACGCCCCAAGACCAGAACCAGACACTCAAAAATGCTAGCATTTCATTATGTTGAACATCATAAATGCGGAAAAGTGATTAGATTTTTCTTTTAACATAATAAACATTAATTACGTTAATTTACAAATAGATTCCTTGTTTGATACCCGTTGTTTTAAAAATACATTTTTCTCTGTCTTCTTTTCAACAACACATTTTTCAATAAAATAATATTACACGCAAACCCAAAATTTTTCTTTATTTTTTAATCACACATTTTCCATCAATCTAATATTCTAAAATGCATTTTTAAAGTAAAATGGGGCTCAAACAAATATGGTGTAGAAAACTTATTATTTCACGAAAACACAAGGTGATTAAATTAACTATTAACTTCATTTCTGAACAAAGTCAATATTTAAATATTTGAGTAACGAGTCTAACTCGCCACAAGTAGTTATCTCAAATTATGTGGCTCTTATTATCCAAAAATGGGGGACATGGGATGAGCTAATGCCCAGTAAGCAGACCTTATGCACATGATGCATGATTATGATATGCCCGTGCATTAATGTAAAATAAAGTTTTTCAAAATATATATGTCATTTTCTTTCATTTCTTTAGAAATATTGACATTAATATTTATCTCTTATGGTGTAACGTCCAACTAATCAGAAGTATGTCATTATTATTTAAAATCTGTTAAATCTATTCGGTAGTACCACAAAGTGGTTAACATTAAATATTTAATGTTGAACATTAGTTGGGTTTGTCGATCCCTACGCCCTATTTTCCACTCACATCTTTCATGGCATAGACGTCTTCTAAAAAAATTTGCATAGATGTCTTTTTAAAATAGTTTTTTCGACATTATCATTATTCACCCTACCACTCATGCATGCTCACATATCATTTATGCATATATGTGAAGTTCACTACTGGCAAGCTTATGTGCAGGACATTTATATTCAACATTGTAGCATATGAATGAATAATGGAGGTTTACTTACCTCTAATTCTTTGCAAATTTTTTTATCTATTGCGAGTTTAATTATCCCTTGATTGCTCCCGACACCAATGTCCATACTCTTTAACATAAAGTTACATAAATGTCCTTAATCTATTAAAATTGACTTTGTTCTTTATGAGGTCCTATCTAGACAATAAACACTAAATTTATTCAAACACTCGATCACAATAAAAATTTGGTACTACACCTTTTGTTATTTATTAATTTTTATGTTTACGTCCTTCATAACAAGTCAATGTATATATATCATTATACAAATTTCATTATACAAATTTCGTAATACGTAAAAAAATAATCTTTATACAAATTTTGTAATCAAACATGCCAGGCCCTTGTTTGGTAG